TTTCTTTATAATATGTATTCTTTGTTTTCTGAATCGCTAATTGAGCCTCTTCCATTAATTCAAAAATCCGATATATAAATATATATCTTTAAATCCGAAAAGACAATGAATTAATTCGTATTTCTGTATTATTTATTGTGTTATTTGATATCTTTGGTGATGATATGCGATTCTTGCAATGTTATATGACAGACTGACGCATTAGTGTGTTTTACAAGTGGTTCAACTGTAACATAAATAGCATTTGCACAATAAAAAAATGCCCTTATGTTATGTCTCTTGCACTAAAAATATTAATTTAAGATAAATATATGCAGAAAAATTTGCAAGCTTACGCATTTTAAACACAAACATATATTTTTGAGATAAAAGATCGACATAGCTATGATCGCAACACCATGTGATGGCTGCTTGAAATATAATCGGCAAAAAGTATTACATACAATGCTAAAGATTTTTTTTTCTATTGCCATAACTATTAATGTTAAGATTTCTTGCTTTTCATTTTTCTAGATTCATTATGTTGTCCACATTCGCAGTCTAATAATGATCGAAGTAACCCAAATGATGAAATATTATAATAAATTTTTATGACTCTTAATACATGTTTATATATGTTATTTATGTTTATATATGTTACAAACGCAAGTAAAGTCCGCAAGTTGACAACCTTGCATTAAATTCCAAATGAGAGTCGGCACATATTTGGTCAAATTGGCGTTTTGTGCAGTGGATAGCCAGATACAATTAAATTTATACATTTGGCCAAACTATAATTGTTGTTTGTAAAAGCGAATATATTCCAAAGTGAATTTCCAGATATACCCTAATCATACTCTTCATTGGAAATACTGGTATATTCCAATTAACCATGGAACAAATGGGATTGGCATATTTAACTTTAAATCGTTAGTACATGGAAGCCCACATACGAGGGTCATTTGAAAAGTTTTGCCTCAACATGAAAATTATTCGTCAAAACCATTCTGGTACTATAATCATGGTTTGAAAGATACCTATAAAAATTGTAGCCATTGTGGACACTCAATTGTTGTTTGACAGTTATTTATACCACTCAATGTCAGTGTTTTTGTAAAAATGAAAAAAATCTTATATCATATCATGCCATGATTAAGTTCTTACATTTGGAAGGTAATGGGGCAGAATCCCCGTAAACAGTGTCCGACTCGGCTTTAATTTGCTTTTCAAATACAAGAACTTAATAGTATTCGATTTTTTTCATTTTTTACATTGGACAAAGCCCGATTGCTATGAGCTGTTTTTTAATATATTGCTCCGATACTTTACGTCTGGATTTCCGAATTATTTTCGAAATTTATTAGTAATAGATTTCCAAGTAAAAATAGTAATAACTTTTACTGAGCAAGACATTAAATAGATTAAATATATTAAAAATGGAAATCCTTGTTTGAACTATTATGTATTTTCAAATAAAAATCAGATATAATTTAATCGTAAATTCCGGATAAATTCTTAATTACCTAAAATTACAGACATATACAAAATAGATTTTTATGTGAAAATTTCACCAATGTCCAAAAATTGGTAATCCAAATATAACTATATTTGATTTTGATATGCCTCAAATTTAATTCAAGTAAAACTCTATACGTCCATATTTGTACAAATATGATTAAATACATTTTATGTCTGGACGTATCTGGAATTTAGTGCAGGAAATACTGACATTGTACAAATTGGCAACTCGGGCAATGTTTGCCCACTATGCGGCTCATAACCCGTAACATTTACATATATTCATACATGAAAAATTTTTTACCGGAAAGGTACTAATTTTCAACAAGAAATAGCATTTTACGATAGTTATATATAGTGCTTACATCATTGTTATCAAAATTATATTTTTTTTATGTTATAGATAAAATAAGAATTTTATAATATTAAGTGAAATGTATGTGATAGAGAAGAAAACCGTTTTTGATCAAAGTGGATTTTGATGCTCAGTAATATTTATATGTGAATATACAAATTCGGCTTTGTTCCAAAATTCATTATTAATGCTGAAAATGTATAATATACATAAATTAAACTATAGATTTTCAGCGCTGGCAGTGAATTTTGGAACACAACCACAATTATCAGTTTTGTAGATTGTTGCTTTAATTCGATTTATCGAACTTAATGCACAATCACATAAATTGAAATAATATCATTGTTAAGGTAAATGTCCTAATAGCCGGACGTTTAAGCGACTTTTAAGGTTGTTCTAAATAATACAATTTATATTAGAGAGATTTTCAATATGACCACAATTAAAAAATTAATACGACGAGAAATATTAATATAAGTAGATGTTTAATGACAAAAAACAACTCATTCAAATTAATCTTTAAGGTAAAAAAACATTTGAGATTAAAATATTAATTTAAATAAATAAGATCTCCGGGAAAAAGAGATAACATTGGATACAACACTACCGACGAAGAAACGAAGAATTCACGCAGTGATAATTGTGATACAGGAAACTATCTTCTTCGGATTGCAAAGCATTGTAAAATGTATAAATATGCATTTGAAACATTTAGAATCTCTGATTAATAACGTCAACAAATGTGCACAATATTTAATTAAAGAAATTAATTAACTAAAACTATCTGTAAATTATGTTAATCGTGAAATCATAAGATTAACGCTAAAAGATAATTATGACAGAATTGCATGTAATGTGCATACACAAATTAACAACTTAATTCTTCTCGATTCGTATTTTAACATAATATTTGTAGAATTAACTTCATTACGATATAATGAAATTTTTTATATAATTCTTACGAACCAAGAATTGTAATTTGTGCCCAATTATTCTAAAACTTTTTATTTTAATCAGTCAAGAGTGGCACCGTGGATGTGCGATTAGATTTTGAATGTAAGGAGAACATGCCTGCAAATACAACAACCTATTGTCTCATCATACACGATCGGGTAGTTCAGTATAATTCGTTAACCAAAGCTATGCAAAATCACCTAAGTGCATTCTCCGTTACAATACGATATAAAATCTACAATACGCAATTGACCGTAATCTTCTTTATTGTTAACAAGAAATTTATCGTGAAGGAAGCTGGCGGTGCTGAAACAGGGGACCGTTCTCACGCATTATATTTTTACGAGTCCCGTGCCATGGAAATTTTTAACAAGATCCAACAGGTCTTGCGCTTCCTGGTTGATTGTTTACCACTATGGATTGTGATGGGAAGACGGGATAGTTCCATAGCCAAGCGAAACGCCTAATTATGGCGATATTTGAAGATGATAATATTATATACGTCAAGGAACGCAAAAAATGAATATGGTTGTAGAACTTGCTTCTGGACGATGAAATGAGAACGCATGTACATCGAGACTTTGTAATTTACGAAGACATGGAATCTTTAACTAATCTATAGATATTACTAATATTATGCGATGCAGACAATATGTTAAGAATTGCGCGTTACAAAATGTATTGAAAATATATAACTGGTGGTTGCAAAAAAACTTTTAAGTATAAATACGTAAACGTATTATTATGTATTTCTTTTTCTTTCTTCTGTAATACATGTATGTATGTAAGCATGTAAGCCTCAATTTGACAATAAAAAATTCTTTATTAGAAAATGAAATGAATACACAAAAAAATATAATACATAATACGTCCTTTATTTCAATTATTTAAATCATACTTTTTTTTACTGTTTCATTTATTTCATTATCATTTTCTAATAAAATATTTTTTATTGTCAAATTGAGATATTTGATTTGAAGATGTCAAAACCAGAAAGCGATATTCTTTAGAACTTGTAAACAAATTTTTTCTATCCTTAAAAACGTTTTATAATCCAGTTAAGTACATCTTTTAAACGCCCTGCAGAAGGTCACGGAAAAATTTCAACTGGATCTTGTTCTGGATGAACAGATTTACAATTTGAGGGGAGTAACGACTCATTCGAACGCTTGGAACCTTGCTAAAATCGACCCTTCAATTCGAAATTTATGAGGATTTTTTTGGCATGAAATGAAAATTTTTGAGATAAGAAACCGATTTTTAAAAAAATATCTTTTTTCTTTATTTTTACAAATTTTGATTATTTTAACAAATTTTTGAGATAAGAAACCGATTTTTAAAAAAATATCTTTTTTCTTGTCAATCTAATATATATTAGATATTTTTTTAAAAATTGGTTTCTCAAAAATTTTCATTTCATGCTAAAAGAATCCCCATAAATTTTTATCAAAAAATATTAAGATTTAGAGGTCAGTAGTGAACGATTTTTAAATTAAAATTTCGGTTTTCTTTAATATATATTTGATGCAAAAATAGCTTAATCCGGATTTTAAATGTGGTACAGATGTTTTTCAATAAAAAATAAATCTTATCTATATTTAATAAAATTTCATAAACATATTTAATGAGTTATTTTTTTATTTTACGTATCATTTCTAAACATTATTTGTAATCTTTTATAAGACGTATATCCCACCCTTATGGAATATATATAAGAATTTTAAATAGATTTTTTTAAATTTGAAAAATTAATATTTTGAATACTTATGTGCGTGCGCGTGTGTGTGTATGTGTGTTACTTAATTAAATTTTAACAAATACAATTTTTTTAAATAAAATAACTTTTTGTTTTCTTTTTTTTTAACTTGAAAGAAATGCAAATAGTTGAAGTAGCAAGATATTACGCTCATTATAATCATTGGACTTTTTTACTTGTTTAAAATTATTTTATAAGAAGAACGATGTGTGTTCACAAACAAAAATAAAAAAACTTTAACTTTGAAAAAATTAATAAGATAAAATTTATGTGTTTTACGTAATTAGTTGAAGTTAAAAGTTAACATATTAAAAATTAAAAATTATTAACTTTTTAATTTTATTCTTTAATTGTTAACTTTAATTATTAACTAATTACTATTTTACCTTCTTTTCGTATATTTATTTTTAACTTTTACGCTTATTATATCGACTATACCTGATGTTGATATTCGCAGTAATTATAGTACCGTTTATGTTGTAAGTGAAAAATAACTGAGCTTTTTAATGATAAATCGCTCTTATATAAACATTACTTCTTATAATATGCTCCGATGTTATTATCATCTCATTTATACTGCCAATTAAAAGTCTATGATTATTAATTAATTCAAATATCTATTGTATGTATAAGAGAGAATGAGTTATGGATTAAAATGTAACATATTTGTATCATTTACTCATTGTTTTTTAGTAAAATTATACATTCACTGACAAAAATGGATCTGAACTTTAACAAATACGACGTTCACGAAACGTTGCATTCCAAAAGTGAATATAAACACGAAAGACATAATTTTTATATAATAACATAAATCAATCTTTTTATCTGATGGCTCTAATGTAAATTTTAAAATATTACCTACACTGTTCTGTAATAATAATACAAAAGCAACTGAAAAGTAATTAAAAAGCATATATTTGAAGCAATTTTAACTGTAACTCATTACATTTTAAAGTCTCGATAATTTGTAATAGTACCAAACTACTCTTTGAAAAAGACTATAATCTAAACAAGGATAAAGTTAAACAAGAACAAATGCTTGCGAGCATAGACCGCAGTCCTGTGTGTCATCATACACATGAGCAACATTCAATCCAATGAAAAATTTAGAGAAAGCCAAACATATTTTTTCTCATAATTATTTTATTTATTATAAAATAATCTTGATAACGCTTTTTAGAAAAATTTATTATTTATGCCTGCGTAACGAAGCTCTTTCGGAAACAAGGATTTTAATAATTCATATATGAATAATGTATATAAAATAACAGTCATCTAAGTAGAATAACAGGTCACGATAATATCAATATAAATATTAAAATGAATCATGACTGATCGAAAAACGATTATTAATAATCATTACGGAGCTATTTAGACGCCACTTTGATACGATAATTTTATTCGGCTTGGACAGTATGATAATGATATGGAACAATAAAACAGTTGACACATACTAAAAGTAACATAACATGAATGTTACAACTTTGCACTCAATTTTGAGTGATACAGTATCGGGCTGCTCCTCGCCGTGATGAAATGAACTGCAAGGTTCACGAAACGTTTGGCATTCCAAGAATGGATCTGAAGAAAACCCGCGAAATACATAATCTTTATATTGCTTATTAATAAATTTTGGGCGCTCATAATGCTTGTATTTTTTATGTATAAGTATGTGTATTGAGAATCTACTAATAAAAAAAAAATCTTAATTTTATTACATAAGTTGGATTATTCTTGTGTATGGTTTATATCGATATCTTTTCTTCAATTTTGCATTGACAATTTTATTATTTATAATTAAAAAAGTAAAAATTAAAATTTTTATTATTTATAATTAAAAAAGTAAAAATTAAAATTTTTAATAATTATAATTAAAAAGTAAAAATTATTTTATTATTGTTCCCTTCAACAAGCTTTCTTTATTTCTTTAATCGTTCAAGTTGTTGGATCATGCTACGCTCTATAATTCATTTGTCTGGCAACTTCCACATTTTGAATTTTTCAATTAATAATGCGTAATAATCTATAAATAGGAATGAGTGCAAAAAACAGATTATTTGTAATTTAAAAAATGTTACCGATAATTGCATTTCTTGCCCTGTCAAGACAGTCAACCTTTTCTTTCTGTCTTTCTGTACCATGTGTTCTAGATGCTTGACCAGTAAAAGTATAATGTCAAAGTTTTTTCTCTTTAAATATATTCACAATCAATCGATAAGCAAGATGTATCACTTCTTTAGAATTTTCTAAAGCTGATACCAAAATTTTTTTTCGACGTTAATAAACGTTATTCATAAGTAATACCATCTGGAAAATATATTTATAAATTTTATAAAAATTTTCCTGACACGGACATTATACTTGAGCCTATATAGTAAAATTAAAAAACAAGCGCAGAATATTTATAATGATTGCAGTATGAAAATAATTACAGAAAAAGAATCGATATACAAGTAGTTTTTACCAGTTCATCTGACCAATCTTTTCCATGCAGCTAATTAAGTTAAAAGAACTGATTTGATATAGCAACAATGTGTTCATATATTTCTTTACTATCTCTATCTACTATATTTGGATTTTCATTAGTCAAACTGTTTGAATTACTATTGGAAAAATCACTGATGTTTTCATTATTGTTTTCCTCCGAATCCGTATTGAGTTAGCAGTCAAGTTTTAATGATTTTCTAATTAAAGATGATGATAATTGATGCATTAAATTTTGTTTCGAGTTATTTGAATATTTAATTAAAACAAAGTAAGAGATTAATAATTACTCTAATAACAATAGAATAATCAGAAATAAAAATAATTAAATATCTAATAGAAATAGTTATTATTTATATATTGGACACTCAAAATTTACCCGATAATCTTTTATTAATTACATCCTTGGTATTATGGCTTAGTATTCGCAGTTTTCTTGAATTTCTGTTAATGTCTGTCAAAGTATTGATATCTGTAATCATGCAGTTGATCGTAGATTGAATCAGAGAGAAACTTAAGAGATGACATGACTCATATGACGACCCAAAACTTGTAATCGCAAAATTCTACCGTACACTATTGCTCTCTGACAAAGTAGATGTAAACTACATAGCAATGTTCACTTTTCTTAGACTACATCGTCTATTTTTCAAGGCTGAAGATGATAAATCGATATTTGGTTCTACATATAATAGTGCTACATGTAGCTTTATTCATATGTCAAATTATTTTATTATATTTCGTTAATGAAATTGCATTAACTTTTTTAATATTATTTTTTATTGTAATCCTTTATACAATTCGATATATTACAATTATAATAATTATTTACAAAATAATAAATGTGTTCAAAATAAAATAAAAATGAAAATATAGAAGCATAATTAATAAATTTTAATAATATGGGATTATACGAAAATGTCGAAAATACGTATCATAACACAAATTTTTTTAAACAAATGTTTAATGAATCAAATATTAATAAACACAGAAAGAATACTAACAACAATTAGATCGTACTATTAATTAATAATTTACGAATATAAAACTTAATAATATCACGATAAAAAGTCATTAATATAATATCTATCTCAATAATTTCATTATATTAAAGTTTCTCTGCCTTGTGCGGTTAGTATCCGATACAAAGAAGAAAAATTTTCAATGGAGAGAAACATAAGGCATTCTGATTTTACATCAAATCAAATTCACAAAATCCATTTGTAAAGAAAACTTGAGCAATCAAATAACAGTGGTCTTGTTAAAGATGTGAATCTCGAATTTTTCAGATCACTTACAATAGTAATAATTTTGATAGCATGTCAATTACAATTATCATTTGTGTCACATCTTTAATATAATATTAAAATTCGCGAGAAAGTATGTTTTGCCATACATTCCTTAAAATGATCTTTTATTAAAAATAAACGAATAAAATGATTTCCTTATGGAATTGTGGTTACAAAGGAATATATTTAATAATAACAAAATACATGCATTATTGTAATTTTTTATATGTATGATTACAAAAGTTTCTTGGGTACCAACTGTTCGAGATGAGCCGAGCCCGATAAAAACGGGATTCTAAAGAACATTTTATACTAAAAAATTTATTATATAAAATTTAATAATTCTTTATTTTTCAAAAATTACAATGATTAATATCCCGTTAATATGAAGGTACCCCTTCGACTTATCTTAAATTTTTTGTACCCACATTTAAAATTCAACTCATGTAATCACGATTACATTGTTAATATAAGAATTTTGAAAAAAGTTATGTAAATATCAAAAATCAATATTCATTAAATATAATATTTACATGAATTTTATCATAGAAAAGTGCATGTATTTTATCATGGAAAGTGTGTACACATATAAATTAATAATTAAAAATATTCTGCAATGGCGGGATGTCCAATACCTAAAAATGATTTTAAAATAATAGTTAGAAAATTAAATACACGCATTCGTAACCACATTTTTGTTAGAGCAATCATCAAAAAATTAACAAGTTATTTGTATAAAATTAAAATTTGATTACTTAATAATTTGAATTTCAACAAATAATATAATAATTATTAAATATATCCATATCAGTCATATAATACTAAATTCCTATTGTTATTAAGGCAATACTATTACTAACATTATTATTATTAGTGGAAGATTACATTTAACAAAACAAAGAAAGCGAAAATTATATGCTAAAATATATCACTGAATTAATTTTACAACTTGACTTTAAAATATATAGCAATTGTCATTGACTCATTAATAAAATTATTACTACCAGTAACTGCAGATTATCAGCAGACGAAAAAACTCGGGATTTATTCCAATCCTGTATAAGAATCTCTGAAGAGACACCAAACTAGACTTCGCAAATGAACTTCACGAAAAGCGACGAGGAATAATTCTCCATGATGAAAATAATTTCGACTTTCCATCGGTACAAATCACGTAATCACTGGCATCCATCTGACGCGAGAGATAGAGATAAGAGGCCTTTGCATATAATAAAGTGTTCACTAAAATATACTTACTATAATTTTATAATGTTAAAAATGTAAACGTCGAAAAGCAAGAGTTAATATTAATATTTAATCATTGTCTCAGTCAAAGCTCTATTATCTCAATCTTTATATCTTTATCTTATTTAACAAATTTATACTAAGTACGAAGAAAAAAATGACGATTATTCTAAACACCAAATTTTTAATAAGAAGTTACTTAAAATTATTAATGACTTTTTAATATACAAAATAAAATCTAAATTAAAAAAGTCTTAAAATTAAATATTCAAACTTATTAAATCAATAAACAATTTTTGATATTATATGTTTCGTCAATTTCGTATAATTTACATAAATTGCACAACAATTTGATTTATTACGACAAGATAAATGCTATTTGTTGAACAGATTTTTAACGGATACATATATTCCATAAATGTATTAGGCGTTGGAATTAATTCGTAGCGTTTTACAAGTGATGGGAAGTACTTTCATTAATGTATTTTTTAATGCTC